GATTAAGAACTCCGTTGAATAAGGGCCAGAGTATCAAACAAGAAGCCTCCTGAATTCTGCTCAGCATATGGACAAAGTTTAGAGCAATAAAATCAGCCAAATAAGCCAGACTAACTCAAATGCAGCTGTATCCCTTGCTGATTTTCCCCTAGTTGTCCCTAGTAATGAGGATCTAACCATCAGCCCTTGACGTTTCATCCAATTTACTTACAGGGTTTCCGTGCCACAAACGCCGATTCACAATCAGTTTGGTCTGTTCACAAAGCTGCGAAGAAATTATTTCCATTCCAAACTCCTAAACACAAGTGATTACAAAAAGACACTCGGGTTCCTGGACATGTCCACGTAGAGCTGGAATGGCAAAATAGCTTTGCTACCAGGAAACCGAGGTCATTCTCCAACACACACAGACACATGCCTTACAATGCAAACCATCCTAAGAGATCCACTGATGTGCGCTGCAGTCATATGACAGAACAGGTCATGTAAGTACAGCATGCACAACTAGAAGTACGACATGTAGTTTTGTTCATTATAGGGACATTTTAGTAGAAACAGGGCACCAGGGGATCACAAACATAAGATACTCTCATCTCCATTGCACTTTAACATAAAATTGGCCCTTAAGGTCAAGAGGACTGCGAGAAGAAGGACAGGAGATTTCTAACCAGCTTTACCATTGATCACTAAGAAATCAGCTTGGCAACTTGTTCTCATTTTAATTTAGATATTCTGGAGGGAAAATAAAATGGTAATTTGGGGATAGAAAATTTCAGAACAGGTAGTTGTGTTGCTAGGGAGTCCCACTCTGGCTGCCGTTTGGTTTGGGGAGGTGGTTGTTTTGGGTTTGTTGGGTTGTTTTGGGTGTGCAGGTTGCTATTCTTGTAACTCCGAGAGAAGTACCTGACAGCTGTGTGTTTTCATGCTGCACAGAAAATACCACTTCCTATGGGGCTGGTGAACAAATACGTCCTAACCACACTCTGAGAGCTCTTTTTTATTATCTTGAACCATACTCAAAAGGCTCTTTTTTATTTCTGACCTTGAATAAAAGAAATATGGGAGGAATCAGTTTCTCTCTTGCTTGTTTTCTCTCCTTCACATGAAAAAATAAGACAGCCCCAAGACTAATTTTACCATTTAACACACAAATTCAAAAGTGTAGCTCAGGTTCCTTATCAAATGCCATTAAACTTTCTAAAGAAAGGACTGATCAGCTTTCCCCACCTTCCACAGGCATCAACGGGCCCCAGGGGGCCTTCAGTTCCCCTTATATTCTGGTAAAAACAAACTCCAGTTCAGAGAGGAAAAAGAGAGATATTCAGTATTTTGGCCTTGATACACAGATTCTATTAAAAGGAGCAAACAAACCTCAGGGAGAAAAGAATAACAGGAATGCAGGAGATGCTCTGAACTCTGCTCTAGTCTAACCTCAATCACTGCACCTAAGTTTCAAGGATTTCTTTACTAATGCTGGCTTTAGAAAGCTCTGATTGACCACAGACAGAAAGTACTTCAAGTCACTTTAAAAGCCTAACAGTATAATAAAAATAAAGCAGCAACTACAGCTGACAGTCCCTGGTTCCTGAGAGCTCCTCTGCTATTTGTATCACTCCACCAAGCAAAGCTCACACCAAATGGATGTTCTGGCAGAGGTCCCAGATATGCAGGCCACCAAGTCACAAGCAGCTCACCATCCCACCACTCTTACTAACGAGAAGGAGCGAGCTACAGCAGCAGTTCAACATCTCTTCCTCTCTGCTCTCCTGGGATACATTCCTTATGCCCTCTCCTGCCTTCCCCCGCCAGCTGGAGAACTGCTGACACTGGGAGAAATCAGGAAGGGAGGGATGGGGAACTGCAGGCTGTCCCCTTCGAGGAAGGGGCTGCTCTTACTAGGAAAACCACCGGGGGGGGCAGCTAGCAGTGACCAGGCAGGGATAGCTGGAGGTAGGCCCCCAAAACTGCCCACAGCAGGAGGTGGGTAGGTTGGTAGCCTTCCATGACGGAAGACTGATGCTGCACTGTTAGTACTAGTTACCACATGCTCCTGCTTCTCCTGCTCGCTGTGTTGTCTGCCCTCCTCCTTCAACTTCCCCAAACACCTGCAGACTCCCCCAGCCCCGTACCAGCCACTTCTTGCCAGGTACCCCTGCTCGCTGAAGTACACCATGGTGCAACCCACCCCGGCCCCCCTGGTATATTCCACATTCCCCGTCAGACAGAGGTGTGTCCCGGCTTGGCAAGCCACCGTGCTGCATCGCTGTGGAAGGAGAACAGCAAAACATTATATGGTGTGAAAAGCTGCTTGGATGGGAGGGTAGGCAGCTGGTATGCGAGAGTAGGAAGAGTCAGAGGGAAATGTTGCAGAGCAAAGCCAAGCCGAGATGAGACACTGAGTGGTAGGCACAGTAACAGCAGGCGGGAGAAAAAGTCAAGACAAAGACCTTCCTTCAAAAGAGCTGGAAAGGATTATGTGGGATTGTGACCGCATCTTTCCTCAACCATCCAGGCCTACCTTTCAGCTAAGCAGAAAAAATGAGAACTCATTTTTTATTACGCACAAGGAAGCTCCGGGAAGCTTCTTTTGAGAAGAGTGGCTATTCCTCATTCAGGGGAAAAGAAACAGATTCTTCTTTTGCAGATTGCTTCAAGCACTGAGGTAATCCAGGTGCTGGTTTCTTCCGGAGGCATGGGAAGAGCCCTAAGTGTGTACAAAATATTCATGAGCAGAATAGTTAGCTCTTTGCAGAAAGCAATGGGAAGGAAAAGCAAGCAGACCCATTTACCATTCTGCTAAATCAATGCAATTTACACTACGTACAAGGCAAAGACAAAGGAGGAGGAAGGCGGATTCTCCATGCTGTTTCGGGGTGCGACATGAGCCACGCGATACAGCCTTGAATCAGCTGCTCTCCTTCTGCAGGAAAGAGGTCCCCCTTCCCTACAGGCCCACTAGCAAAGGGACTGGCAGACAAACTTGCTGGCACAGTCTCGAGGTGGGGGGCAGCCATTCAGAAGATAGGCACCTCTGGATTACAAGATTTTGGATGGTTTATCCTACCCACCTCCATGGTCAACATTGCTGAATGGGACAAAAGGTGGTGGTGTGTTCCAAGAAAAGGAAGGCTCCAGCAGGAGAAGGGGACGACAAGCTGGACACAGACCTTGTAGGTGCCAGCAGAGGCCCTGTCTGCAGAGGGACATCGCAAGGGTAGCGATCTGCTGCCTCTTCATGACTGACGTGCGAGCCCAGCAGAGCTGTGGTGATGGCAGCCAGCACCAAGTCCTGTACAAGGCGCTCAGGAGTGGCATGGCTTCAAGGATCCAGCACAGTCCTCCCTTGAAAGGTGCTGGGCAGGTTACATCACATGTAAAACACATTTCATCACCGGGACATACACTCCCCTTTCTTATTTTCAGCTGTCTACCAGTAAGTCATTCAAATGAAAAGTTACTCTCCAAGACAGCACAGGCATTCACCACACCCAATTTCAACGCCTGCTCTCTGCAGCACAAGCACAGAGACATTTTATGGAGGGATCTTCTTTTTTTTTTTTCTTGTCATTTTTATGTATTTCAGCTAGCCAGAGACTTCTGACCAACAGAAGCATGACGTGAGAAAATTCTTAAGGTTTAAATAATTCATCTTAAATATTAGAAGTTTCGTACTCAAACAGAACCTGATGGGAAAAGCAAAAACCACAACTGATACCAGCATTATAAGTAAGTCTGCAATAAAAGGCCAACTCTGCTGCTCCTTGTCAGGGTGAAAATTGCAGGTTAGGAAGAAGAAATGCCTTGCAAATATAGAGCTTCACTGAAGTTACCTGTTACAATGAAGTGAGAAAATGGATGTTACTCCTGTCACCTCTAACTGCTACAGAGTGGACTCAAGCCAGTCTCTACACACAACTACAAGCGCCAACATGTCAAACAAAAGCATGCATATCAACGGGAACATAGTTTTCTCAGCACTGAGAAAACTATAATTTAATTTACTGTGGTCGACATCAAGCAAACACCAGCTATTGGAAAGGAGATTGCCTGTATCATTAGAATCTACTGAAGAAACTCAGCTGGACAAAAGGAAAATATTTCACCCAGGCAGATACAAGGGAAGAAAAAGCAGAGCAAGGCTCTTACAAGGCAGCAAGTCTTAGCTTTTTGAGGGCCGTTTTAGGGAGGCGAGATAAGGGCTCAAACGAGCGGCCCATGCTTGTTGGAGGAGGAGCTGCCGGGACCCGGGTCTGATGCGAAGGGAAAGTGTGGAGCTGTGGAAGAGCCGGTTTTGCTACCAGTCTTCTGTTTCGGACCTGCTTTCCCCTTGCAGCCAGCAAAGGTCCTCTTTGCACACATCAGTAATTCTTACTCTTAAAATAAACCTGGGCTGTGATAAATGAAGTATTGTCGCCATGAACTGACTGATTACTGGGAGAGCACCTGTACTCTTGATTGACAACTCAATTAAGCCGAGCTCAGAGTCTTTCACCAAAGACATTATTCACCTCCCTTGGATGGCAGAAACTGTTGTAATCCCAAGAAGGATTAGTGGAGCTATATCATTTTACACCATGTGGGAACCCGCCTGTTTACCTTAAACTGCATTTAACTTCATAGGCCATTTATTTCATCTTTTCCCAGGAGTGATTATCATGATCCTGAAAAGAGCAGAGCTACACTGGATATTAAAACCCAACAAGATAGGTCTGGCAGCTGAGAGACACATTCTGAGATAACAAGGCAAGCGAGTTTCAGTTCCTAAAACCAAGCTTGAATTCTGCTGATGCGCTACCTGCTTGTGTTTCACATTTACTAGCCCTGTGCTTCCTTCCCTCTCCTCTCGTTTTTTTCCTTTGAAAATAATTTTTAAAATAGTAGGCATCAATAATAGACTTCTGCTTGCAGCCTCCCGTGCTGGTGACTGAGGGAGGGATGTCTTCTACTCTTCCTCACTAAGAACCGGATGGGACCTGCAAGTGTAAGGACAATACTGCCACGGTTTCCTCTGAATACTGAGCATCACTGGGCTTGGGCCCTGAGAAAAGAAGGATGAGGGTGGAGAAAATAGGAAAAATGCAGAAAATGGCTAAAGATAGAATACTTCTGAGGAAACAGCTGGAAAAGGAAAAGAATAAAATGAGAGAAAGGTCAAGTTTTGGCATATTTAATGTGAAAAATAATAGGAAAATGATAGGAAAGAAGGAACTTCCTACTTCCACAGAAGCCAGGGAGAATAAAAAGCAGATATGTTTAATTCAAGTGCAGAGGAGAATGGCAACAAGCTATTATATAATTTCTGTATATAAAAAAATTCAATTTTTATTATTTAGTTACTTACCCCTTCCTTCCTTTTTTTGCTTTGTTATTAAAAACACTCTCTTTCAGAGGGCAATGTTTGTTTGTTTAATGTAGCAAGAATGTATCTGCAATTACTGTTTGTGGTTTTTTTGTTCCATGAAGTGTAACTAAATTATACTAAACAAGTTTACAAGATAGCACATAGAGTAACAAATTTGAAACCTCTATTACACTGCTTTCCAAACTTAAAACCAAACTCACTGAATTGAAGGCTTTACGTTTTCAAATTCTAAGTAGAACGTTTCTCAGTTCCAGAATTCCTGGAAAACAGTAAGAGAACTGAGAAAAAAACTAGGAATGGCAAAAGCTCAACAAATAGCAACTGTAACAATTAAAATTTACTTAATTTCATACTCAGCTGCAGGAAACACCTGCAATTGTAACAGAAATGTTGGTCCCTTTTTCAACTATCAGACTGAAATAATTCATCAGTATTCTATACTTTAATATGTTTTTAACACAGGTTTTGCTGAAGAAGGAGGATCATCCACTAATTTTTCTGAAGCTTTAAACTATGCTGTTCTATAGTAAAAAAAATTCCTCAGTCTTAGGAAAGAATAAAAATGTAAAGCTCTGACTGTGACTCCAGTGACAAACAAGCTTTAATAATTTCCCAATTACTGTAAAAGATTTGTGTGAATGGTAAGAAATTATTCTGAACATTGCCTGAGCTTATTTCAGGCTCAAACATACAATGAGAATTTATTTTATTAGAATCAGTCATATTAAAGAAATATGCTGCTTTCATCTATTACTTTGGCTTTTCAGCAGCTTCAACCAGAAAAAAGTTAATTTACAGAAGCATCTTCATTTTTTCAGGAAAATAAAACATTCTTTGAAGTTGCAGCTTCAAAGTATCTCTGTTAATACATACAGTCAAATATTAAAACGCTTTCCTGCAATGCTGCTATGCTGGGGTTTTTTGTATCCATTGTAGTCAGGTGTTCTTTTAATACAATAACAAGCAATATTAAATTCATCAACTTTTACTGTGCTGTGTGCAACTCCTCAATGTAAGTCCTTCTATTAAGCAATTCACCAGCGGATTACGGTATGTATTTTCTCGAGAAAGAAGCCAGTAACCGTGGACCAGACCCAGCAGCCTTGGAGCCAGCAGAGGAGAGCAGGAAAGAGGGCAGGCTGCTCAGGAGCTTGGAAGGGGAAGGGTTTTCTCATTGGTTTTGTTGTTACAAGTTCAGGGCAAGGATGAGAAAACAGTGACGGTGACGACGGCAGCCGTGAGGCAGACCCACATGACTACAGAGACAACAGAGATGACTGGACATAGAAAGTGGGGTGTCCCGCATCCTTGATGGGGTATTTGACAGATGCTTTTTGACGCGGGGAGACAACCAGTACAGCCCAATACCACAGCAGGGACTTGGCACAGATTTGCCAAAATAAAACAAAACAAATATCCCCTAGATAAGGGTGATCGTGTAAGCGGAGGATGAGACCTACCAGCAGTGGAGGGAAATGGAACATGAGGAAAACAGCATTACAAGCAGAGAAAAGAACAGAAACATCGAGGGACTGGTTCCTGATAGTGTACTGCAGACTGCAGCTAACACAGCAAGCAGGATGCTCCACCGACAGGAGAAAGGGCGGAAGAGAAAGGAGTCAGATTCGTACCAACACCGGGCAGAAGAAGACACACACGATGGGAGACTGTCCTTAGCAAGAGCTGAAAACCTGTCATCTGACCGAATCTACAAATAAGAATTGCATATCAAATGGATATAGGGTATGGAGTTAGGTTTAAAAATGATCCTGAAAAATCTTGTGCTTAAAAGATATGGCAATGGGCAAAGGAATGTCAGTGAGTAAAAAAAGAGAAAAAAAAAAGATTCAATACTGCAGAGTGCAGTAATTGAGAGGAAACACAGGATTATGCCTAATCCAGTAAGGGAAATGGATGTGGTTAGTGAGAAACAAGTAAAATGTTTGTGTACTACTACTTAGGCCACGGACCAGAAAAGAAAAAGCGGAATTTTAATTGCTGGTGCAAAATGTGAAGCAATGCATTGCAGGAATAAGAGAAAATGCAATCAGGACTAGAACATGACTGTGTTCAGGGAAAGGTAAAAACAGAAGTAAAAATGATGGACAAGAACTGAACATGAATAATACCAACGGCAATGTGATAAGAATGTATAACATCAAAAACACAAAATCCATTTAGGAGAAAGACATTTTGCAATAGATTCTCCATTTCTCTGCACCATATTTCTTCCATTTTTCCCCAAAGAAATTTTTACCTGACACTCAAAAGACACAATTCCTTGTAGAAAACAAGATTTTAAATTATGAGTTACAGATAGCAGAACAAATGGATCTAGTAACTGCAGGGGCCCAGTTATTTCTGGATGTGAGAACCTATGTTCTTTACCAAACAATGGTTAAACAAGAGGGTCTGTGGGCATTCTTCGGGTTGATTTTTGGAGTAGCAAAGATATCTGTAACACCACTGAATTAAGAAAGTAATCAAGAGTTGTGAGACCATTATTTGCTTTTGTTTAAACTAAACAGAGAGATAAGCAAAATGCCTATAATAAAAGTTCAGGACTTCAAAGGGGCAAGTTTGATAAACTAAAAGAAACTAATTTATTAAATAATCATCTGACCTGAGGAGATATCAAATAGGAAGAACCATCTGAGGTCGTGAAGCCCTGCTATAGAAATGCAACTGTAAAAGCAAGATTATGAACAAAAGGACTGAAAGCAAAATTTCTCCTATAAAATGGAAACTCATCAGCCAGAAGCATCAAAGATGACAAAGCCATAAAATCACACAGTCACCCTGATATAATCATAAAAGACAAAGACACTGCTAAAGTGTATTCGATGTGCTTCTGCAAGATAAAGATCACTGCAGTGCTCTTGCTCTACGAAGCAAAAGGTCACCTGGAACACTGAGCAAAGGTTTTCACTACCCACATTGAAGGAAACTGGTCTCCAACTGGTGCAGAGCACGTTTATTGGAGTGGTCAAGAGAACAGACAAGTTTCTCCTAGATGAGAAGAGGACCTGAGGAGCTTGGCTTAGTTAGCCTTGGAAGACGTAGACTGAGAGGGCTACAAGATTTGTTTCTATAAATACACTGCAGAGGAAGTAAAAGAGATATTTAAGCAAAATGACAATGTTAACTCAAGAACAAGTGGATATAAACAGGCCACAATGAAATTCAGGCTGAAGTTAGAAGGCGGCTTCTAGCCTGACCGCACTGAGGTTTTGGAACATATTTTTAATGACAGTAGTGAAGACAAAGAACTTAACGGGATTTTGATCACTTTGCAAATGGCTTAGCAAGAGGAGGTTGCCTGGAACAGTAAGAGAATGAATACTAGGTTCACGAAATCTTTTCCACTCTTAATTTAAATAAAAATTTGTTCACTGAAACTTGGCAGAAGTTACTCAATGCTGTCTTTAGTTATTCAAATGGATGCCTTTGTTACTTCATGAAATGTACTTAAAAGAATTGTTAAAAGGAAAACCTTTCTGTTGAAAGACAGCACGGTGTTTTTATGATGTACAAATAATAAGTATCCTGGAATCCTAGCCAGCACACTGAAAGACATTAAAATAAGTTGCTGCAAATTCATTAGGAATAGTGATAACTACAAAATGAGGAATTATTGAAACAGCTCACAGTTCATGCATTCTGGAGTTATGTATTTTGGTAAAATTCCCCAAACCCGATTCCAGATTCCAAGTGAAAATTCAATGCAAATAATCTGATACCTATTCTTCATGCCCTTTGGAAACTAATGTTCAGACATGTACAACTGTACTGCAAAAGAATTTCTCTTTTTTTAACACATTCATCTCTGTGCCACCTAATCTCCAGAGCAGAAGTAAACCCCAGAATTTACAAGGAAGGGAGGAAGAATGATAGGAAAAAGATATTTAGAGCTAATATAGGGTTGTAATCTTTCAGGAATTCAAAGAATTATTTTACCAGGTTTTCTAGAAAACATACACACTGATGGTTTTGAAATACTACCTCAAGTAATTCTCTACAGGGGAAACAGCAATTTCTCTTTTCTTTTGGGGCTACGGAAGAATTCAAAAGTGAGCTAGCAGGGGACTTTAATCTCAGAAGTTAAACTCCTGCAAATTTTTAAGTAAAATGCATACCAGACATTAAAACACTCACAGGTTAAGATGGACTGGCGCCATCAGCTCTCAGGTACCCCTGAAAAATAGCCTTGAAAGCTTTCAAATTATTCCACTTAATTGATGATAGGAAAAACCATCTGTGGTTAGGACAGTGGACTGGGACTTAATAGTTCAGTTCCTGAATCTGCCATAAACTTCAGGGAAACCATTCATTCTCCTGTTTAATTTGTTAGCTATAAAAGTAAAACAACCATCTTTTTTTCCCTTGTCCTACATATTGAGGCCTCCACACCTGGAGACGGTGACTGCCGAGAACAACGGGGCCGTTTCTCATTTTACATTTCTCATGTTACTGTGACCAGCGAGTCAATCACGCAGGACGACTTTGGCTCCGTCCGCTTTATTCCCACTGTGCCAGCTTCTAGCGACTGACCGGGCTGCGCTTTCAGAAGCAAAATCGTGCAACGACCTGGAACCCAATCATGGCAGAAGTCGACATATCAACCCCACCAGGTCTATATCAACC